GCCAGGATGGTCTCGATCTCCTGACCTCATGATACACCCGCCTCGGCCTCCCAAAGTGCTGGGATTACAAGCATGAGCCACTGCACCCGGCCATCACCTTCTCCATTTCTAAAATACAATAGGGTTCATGCAAAAGGAGGTGATTTCTGCATGAGGCTCTATTGATCTTTTATCTCTCATCAAGGACCTAGCAGCTTGGGGATCAGGGAAGAAGTTGGCCAAGGCCACTCACATCTTCCAGCAAGGCACTCATCTCCTCACTTATGTCCAACCCCGGCTCTTCTCACCAGAGGAACTAATCCATGAGCATGTGTTTGGTGGGTTTCACCATGGATGGAGTGGAGGGCTACTTTCTTTGTAGGGTGCTGTGGAGAGTATAGCTGGACACTTCACAAGACAGAAGACAAACAGGGAATGGCAAGTAGGATGTACGGTGGCTATTTGATGAAATTCCTCTCCCCTTAACTCCCCCTACCACCCATATGGTTAGTCCATAATTGGTAAACTCCGCCATTCTGGTCCTTTAATATGGAACTACCCTACCACTGGTCCACAAGCAGACTTGCCAGGCTGCGCTGGGACTAAAACCTCCCTGATTCTTCTGGGTCCAATCAGTCCCTTTGTCAGAATGACCTGGATGGAGAGCAAGGGCATCTGCTTTGGAGCCATTTAAAGGCTCCTAGAGTACCTCTGTGTCCTAAGGGGCGGATTAGAAAGAACAGGGCCAAGGAAGTGCTGAGAACATAGGGGAGACTAGAAGTCAAGGTAATGAATGACTCTGTTATGCTGGCCTACCACAGTGTACCTGGAATGATCTTCAGGATCTGCACAAACCCTTAGGTGTGGAGGGAGGGAGAATTGATTATCGTGCGCTCCCTAACTGAAGCCCATGTAGGAACTCCCTTTATAGTCCAAAGAAAGCATATTGGAGGAAAACTTACTTGGCCTGGCTCTGGCTCCCTGAAACAAACTAAATAAATCTCTTAAATCTCTCTTCTCACAGGGAGGAAACAAAACATAGTTTCATGGCAAAGCAAGAGACCATGTCACTTAAGGGACAGTATCCCATGTGAAATAATAATATCCATACTCATCTAAACACCAAGTATGCAGATGGAACTGAGTAGGTTTCCAAAGCAAATTTATCAGTTTCTCCTTCAGATTAGCTCCCCTTCCAATCCTTCCATTCAGTCATCTAGACGCAATCTCAGAGTTTTCACTGAAGATGGGAGGTGAAAGAGAAAGAAACGTTCATCAAAACCTATGGATTCTACTTTTCTATCCTATTATTCCTAGCCTCACCACCACCACCCCAGTTCTAGACCTTATCTATGCCACTCCGCCCCTACTCCACCCCACCTCCCTATACTGGATACCTTCTTGACTGCCTTCCTATCTTCAGGACTAGCTTCATAGTCATGCTATCTGAGCAGGCTCATAGGTACTCACACTTGGTTTAATGCTCTGCTGTTAACATCTTGAAAGTCTTAATACGTTTTTTTAACAAGGAGCCCTGCAATTTCATTTTGCATTGGGCCCTGCAAATTATGTAGCCACTCCTGCCTGTTTCTCCCCATCTGGACCCATCTTACACATAACGTTTATTGCCAGAGTTTGTTTGCTAATGCCAATAATAATGCCCTAATGCATCTAATGGCTCTCCGATGCCTCCAGAATCAAACCCAAACCTCGCAGCCTGGTCTTCAAGGCCGTCTGTTACCTGGCCTCTGTCTAATTTTCCATATATCCCATATAAATTCTACTCATTCCAGAATGGAGGATGGTTTACTATTAACAACTTCAGCAGAATGATTAACAGCTCACACTGTGGAGTCAGACTCAGTTTAGGGACCTGGTTCTACACCTGTTAGCTGCATGGCTTTGGGAAAATTCCTTAGCCTCTCTGAACCTCAGTTTCCTCATCTGTAAAAAGGAGATACCAACAGTACCTGTCTCATAAGGCCAGTATAAGAATTACATGATATAATCAATAGAAATAAGTCTCTAAGCATAGTGTCTGGCTGGCCCCTAGTAAACACTAAATAAGCATTAGCTACTAATATTGTTATTTGTTGTAATTGTTACAAAGCTGAGTCGTTCTAAAAGTCACTATGCCTAATGCCTATCTAATTGGCCATATTGCTGGCTGGATTTCAGGTAACTCACAGTGACCTGCCATGTCGCTCTACTTCCCTTTTATAATACCTCTCAACCACCATCCTCTGGATGGAGATGATTATAATTTGCATGCTGTTGAGCTGTGTTCACCACCTCCCTCTTTTTGCTCTCCGCTAGTGTGGGAGCAACTTGATAGGCCAGCAGAAGCTGCAGAGGCAGACATGGAGGGGAAGCAGCACATTTGCCAACTTGGGTTTCAGAGGGAAGCAGCTCTGGGAACTGACATTCAGGCTTTGACCCACCCCCCCGCCGCCTTCCCCCTGCCAAGTTCTGTCCATTCTCCTGGGAACCCATGGTCGGTCTTGGGGGATATATAGAGATTTTGGATGAGCTTTGTCCAGGCATCTGCGTGAAACAGCTCTGGGATAGTTCCCTCTATCATATCAGGTCAATTTCAAATTTGCAGCCAAGGTTCATCCTGAGCTGCTGAAGTAATTCACAAGGTAGTCACAGAAGTGGCTCACCCTATATAAAGACTAAGGATCCCAGCTTAAGCTTTTTGCATGGGTCCTTTGCTATACCCCAGCTGTGGTGAGCAGAACAGCTCCCAGCAAGGTCACTTCCAGTTCCTTCCCATCCATTTACAGATGTGCTTTGTACTTCTGTTAGAACAGGGATCCTCAACTCTGGCTGCACTTTAGATTCACCTGCAGAACTTCTGAAACATACCAATGTTGGGCCACCCCTAAGACCAATTAAATCTGAATGTCTGGGAGAGGGACCCTGAAGTTGGTAAGATTCTTCTTGTTGTTGTCATTGTTTTTAATTAATTAATTTATTTATTTTTTAGTGTTAGGTTCAGGTTCAGGGGTACTTGTACAGGTTTGTTACATAGGTAAACTTGTGTCACAGGGATTTGTTATACAGATTATTTCATCACCCAGGTATTAAGCCTAGTACCCATTATTTTTCCTGATCTTCTCCCTCCCTACCTCCACCCTCCAAAAGGCCCCAGTATATGTTGTTCCCCTCTATGTGTCCATGTGTTCTCATCATTTAGCTCCCACTCATAAGTGAAAACATGTGGTATCTGGTTTTCTGTTCCTGTGTCAGTCTGCTAAGGATAATGGCTTCTAGCTCCATCCATGTCCCTGGAAAGGACATGATCTCATTCCTTTTTTATGACTGCTGGGTATATACCCAAAGAAATGGAAATCGTTCTATCATAAAGACACATGCATGTGGATGTTCATTGTAGTAAAATTCACGATAGCAATGACATGGAGCTGGTAACATTGACAAACTCCTAAAGTGATTCTAATGTGTGGCCAGGACAGAGAACAAGATTAGATGAGAAATGTAGCTTCATAACCAATTTCCTGGTGTCCATGTCGTTCTCCTCCTTGAACCTATCTATGTCACTTCTTACTTGAAATACAAAGTTCAAGAAACCCCCAATATGACCCTGTTTATTTTTTGCTATCCCTACCCATGCACTCTACCCTATAGCCACACCTGGTTCTTTCCCAGTCCACAGACACAACACCTATATTAGTCTCATTGAAATGTTGCTCACACTGTTTCCCTGACCTAGGATATCCCCACTACTTTTCCAAAAGCGGTGGTTTTCAAATGTGAGTGTGCCTCAGAATTTCCTGGAGGGCTTGCTGAAATACAACTTGCTAAGATCCACCTCAGAGTGTCTGATTTAGAAGGTCTAATATGGACCTGAGATTTGACCTGCTAACAAATTCTCAAGTCATGTTGATGCTGCTGGGCAAAATATCACATTGTGCTGCTCTCTCCTCAAGTTTCCAAATGGCCTCTTTCAAATTGATAGTGAGGTTCCAGGAAGAAATCACCCTAGTTGGATCTGCCCTTGGCAAACTTTAGGGGAGAACAGGATTGCCTTCAGCATCCTTCTATCTCACTTTATTACCTCCTAATTGCCACCCTCCTACTTCCAAGCACTCAAGGTTTTTATACTGGTTACTACTTGCTCAAAATGCTCCACAGCAAAGGTTCTTGTGTTCCAGCCAGACTCTTATGCCCTCCGGTCTCCATACTCTGCTAAGATGTTCTATTGATAATATAACAACAGAACATACAGAAAAGTCTGTGGTTAATTA